AATTGATTAATTAATCAGTTAAGAGAATTACATGTAGATTAAAACATTAAGACAAATGGCAATGTGAATGCATTTTTATTAAAATTTCCAAATCATGAGTTGATGAAATGGCAACAAAATTTGTAAGGGTTAAAGAAAGAATTCTCTTTCAGTATTCTTCATCATTCAATGTTTTTTTTTTTTCAGTCAATACCAATTACACATTTGTCTACAATCTCCTAAACTTTCCTGCCGGTGTAGTCACTGTTTCTACAGTGACTGCAGAGGATGAGGAGGAATTCAAGCACTATCCCGACAAATTTAACAAGGTTTTTAAAGAGGTAAGTGAAACATACCAGTGAGGGAAGACTGATGAAATATATGGAGCTGGATCTACTGTAAGACTAGATTTTCATGCAGGCATAATCTCTCAGGAGACACGGATGTGAAGCCTAAACTATAGATGAATTTATTATAGAATAAATTTCTGGGGGGGTTTCAGCCACCTGCATCTTTCTGTCCTGGACCAGCCTGGCTTGTTAGTGGAAGTTAGCGCTCTTAGGTTTTCTAAAAGTGAGGTCATTTCTGAGCTTCTTTAACAGGATAGAACTGTGATGACCATGATAATGTTATGATGCCATAGAACTTACAGCTGTTGACCTGTTTCACTAATGTTAAATGTCCAATATGGGTGATCAATCAATAGTGTCAGTAAGAGATCAGTGGACCTTTTACTTAATGTCATTCCCCAAATCCTCTGTGTATTTCAAAATGGCAATTAAATTAATGCAACAGCTCTATATTGCAGCCCTGATAAGTAACATAATGTGAAACATTTGTGAGGCACGTAATTTTATTCTGAATGTTACCGATTGGGTAAGAGAATTTTTTTTAAGTGTTTTCACAGTGTTGGTTGTTTATTCCAATAGTTGGATTGAGAAACCACAATGGGCGCTCAAAAGCATCTCCACTAAATAACCAACAAATTAACAAACAGATGACCAAAACTTTGACAATATGTTTAAAGTTAAAAAGCCCTTAGACTGGGAACATTGAAACCAGCATTTTTTTCTTGCATTTTATTAAATAAAATGCTGTATAAGAGATAGGGAAATCAGCTGCCTTTACATGACTTTACATCATGGTTCCGGGAGCATTTATGTACTTAGAGATGTCCAGTGTGGTGGTGGTGGGTATAATGATAAAACAGACTCTTTAACACCAACATGTAAAAGGCCCATCCATACACAAAACCAAGAAATGAAACATATCAGACTATTGTAACTAGAAATATTGTCACATTCCTTGTTGCCATGCAGATATACACACAATGTATTAGTAGTTTCAGAGTTTGTCAGTAGATGGATGAAGGAGACTGTGGTGTGTCCAGCTGCCGAGCGTTAAGTGACAGGAGTGTGTTTTTGTGTTCAGGCAGTGACCGATGGCGAGGGTCTACCTGTGGCGGTTCAGTGTGTTGCTCTGCCGTGGCAGGATGAGCTCTGCCTGCGCTTCATGAAGGAAGTGGAACAACTGGTCAAAGAAAGCAAGAAGTAAAGCTGCTTTCTTTCTCAGTCTCACAGGAGAGGCTGCAGACTTCAGAGGAGACATGTTAACTTGAGTATTTCCTGTAATAATGAGCTAATCGAGTCATAAATGGTGGATGAATCTTAGTAGTACAAGTACAGTCTATTCATTTTGTGTTTATTTTGGTCTTAGATTGTTTCCTAAAGGCTTTAGGAACTCTAACTCTTTCATTTTTCATCTTTCTTTCATACATTCATTTAATAAACCATGTGTTTTTTTTGTCTTGCTATCCCCATCTATGCTTTATATTTCTGCATATCCATAACAGCAAACATGCTAGATCTTGTTGAGAAAATAAAATGTGAAATCATTAGGCAAGTCTGCTTTATTTGTATAGACCAAAATAACCTCACAGACAATAAAAAGACCAAAAAGCATACTAAACAATATTACAAAAAAGTCACAAATTTATTCAAACGGTTACAAGTAAACAAACAAACAAACAAACAAGCAAACTATGTGAAATACTTAAATATGTACACATACAATATATGCAGACAGGAGAAGAATGAGACAAGAAAAGCGGTCAAATATCCAGACAGAACTATGCCAGAAGCTTGTTGAGGGTTACCAAAACTTTCTGAGGTACAACTTGCAATCTGCCCACCATGGAGAAAAAAAAGGACAT